GACCCACAGGTGGAGAAGACCTTGTACCTGCCTCCCCCCGAAGGAACCCTCAGAACAGCACGGGCGATATAGACATAGGAGACAATAATGAAGATCAAGGGGCTCATGATCACAAAGGAGCCCTCTGTGAAGGCCACAAGTTCATTGACAGAAGTGTCAGAACAGGAGAGCGTCAGCAGTGGCTGGACATCACAGAAGAAGTGGTGGATGCTGTTGGGTCCACAGAAGGAGAGTCGGCTCATAAGGATGGTGTGGGTGAGCGAATGGAGGTGGGACACCACCCAGGATGCAGTCACCAGCAGGAGACAGTGCCTGGGGCTCATGGTTGTGGTGTAATGCAGCGGGTTGCAGATGGCCATGTAGCGGTCAATGGCCATGGCAGCCAGGAGGAAACTGTCAGTGATACCAAAGGCCACAAAGAAATACATCTGTGTGAGGCACTGGGCAAAGAGGATGGCCTTGTTCTGTGTGAGCAAGTTCACTAACATCTGGGGCACAATGACCGTGGTGAAGCAGATATCCACCAGGGACAAGCTGGAAAGGAAGAAGTACATAGGGGTGTGCAGGTGAACCTCCCTCCGGATGGCTGCAATGATGACCGAGTTGCCAACCACGTTGACCAGGTACATGGCAAGAAAGCTGGCAAAAAGCCATACCTGCTGTTTGGGGTCTGTGGTCAACCCTAGAAGGAGAAATTCAGTCACATGGCTCTGGTTTTCCCTCAGCATTATTGTCCTACAAGTAAAAAATATGCGGTAATGTTAGGTGTGTGTTTGTATGTGCCCTAGCTTGGGTTATTCAGTTTGATGGCTAACATACCTCATATGGTATTTCAGGTTGTATATGTGTGCACATACATGCATGTGCCGGTCCTGGGGCTTGAACTCAGGGGGACTGTCCCATAACATTTTGCTCAAGGCAGGCACTCTACCACTTCCACAGCTCCACATCCAGCTTTTTGGTGGTTAATTGGAGAGAAGAGTCATCTACAATCACCCTACAATCACCTACAATCATAGCTGCTACCTAGTACAGCTGTGCTGACTCTGTATTTCCTTTTATAAGGTGAAGTCATGGGAAATGACATTTGTGAATCCTATGTTGTTGTGGCAGAAGTGATCTTAGGTCTCCAAAAATTATCCCATGAGAATCTTGGGATCTATTCAGGAAGGGTCAAGGGTCAAGGGACTGAGGAGAATGTTAAATGGCGGGGCTCTAGGTATTTTCTTTAATTGGGGGAAATTCTGTTGAGGTATTTTACACATTGGATAACTGCCTAAGAAGTAGTATGAACAATGTGGTTGAAAAGGTTGAAAACAGAAGTACAGATAGGCATAACCCTAACTGAAAGAGCATTTGGAAGGTAGGGGATCATTAAAGAGAGAGAGAGAAAGAGGGAGAGAGAGAGAGACAGAGACAGAGACAGAGAGACAGAGAGAGACAGAGACAGAGACAGAGAGACAGAAACAGAGAGAGACAGAGACAGAGACAGAGACAGAGAGACAGAGAGACAGAGAGAGACAGTCTGAGAGAGAGACAGAAAGACAGAGAGAGAGAGACTGGGTAATGGGTATAAATAGGTCAAAGTACATACTACACATGTTTAGAAATGCTGTAATGGAATTTATAATTTTGTACAAGAAGAAGTAAGAAACTGGATAAAAGAAGACCCTACAAAGATTGGTGGCAATAAGGTTCAAATTAGTCTGCAATTTGATCTCTTAAGATTCAAGGTCTCAAGCTGGGTGCTGGTGGCTCACGCCTATACTCCTAGCTACTCAGGAGGGTAAGATCTAAAGATTGAGGTTTGAAGTCAACTTGGGTAGGAAAGACTATTGAGATTCATATCTCCAGTTAATCACCAAAAGTCAGAAGTAGAGCTGTGGCTTGAGTAGCAGAGTGTTGGCCTTGGGTACAATGAACTCAGGGACAGCATCTAGACCTTGGGTTCAAGCCCCAGGACTCATGTGCGCACTTGCGTGAGCACACACACACACACACACACACACACACACTCACACACACACACACACACATTCACACACACACACACAAAGATTCAAGGACCTAATTTCCACCAGATGGGTCATCTTATCGTTGGGATTCTTAGGGGATTAGGAAAACAATTTCATTATATGAAATATAATATGTTAACAATTAAAAATAATGTACTTAATAGAGAACAATTGGATCTCAAAAGGTGTGATTTAGCCAATGCTATGAACTAGGTTATCAGTGGTAAAGGTATGATGGCCTGCCCAGTCTTCCCAGGATGTCCCTCCCCTTGCCACGATCATGTGTGGGCTAATGGTCTGCGCTGCTCTGAAGATGTGTGGAGGTTGGGAAGATGCCACACAGTCTGGAGTTGGGGACAGTAGAAGCTGGGCTTTACCTGTCAGCATCAGGGTAGCTGCAATTTTTCCTCTCAAAGTACAGAACCCCTTTTCTTGGGCAGGGGTCTTACTCACCAGCAACAAATCCTTCCTGTGTCAGAGAAAGGAAAGAAGAAACCAGGGAATGTAGAGATTCACCTAGCTTGACCCAAGTTTTGGAAGCAGTCAGATGATCTAGTTTATATTCTCAGCTAAACTGAGCCTCAGATGCTATACTTGGATAAAGAGAATGTCACACAAAATAAAAACTTTCTGTTTGTGACATGCCAGGATTTGAGGACTTGGGAATACTGATGGGACCGAAGACAGCAGCTACTTACTCAGAAAAGGGTTGATGACCTCCGAGGGACCCAGCTGAGGGTGCACTCACCTCCTCAGCATCACTGGCCTTGTTGCTTAGCAGAGGAAGGGGATAGCTGGCACCGACAGAGGTCTCATAGCAGTCAAGGGAGAAAGGGGCCCAGGCTCAGTGTGGGAAGTGGAGGCATTCACTACACTTGGGAGTTGTGTGACCTTAGGATAGTAATCTTTCCATTGTGGCCCCAGGCATGAAGACCATGGGGTTTCCCCCATCTCCAGCTGTCATCACTGGCCTCTTCAGCTTTTACCAGTGGTAATGGAGTGGGGATCTAGAAGATGATTGCCTTTCACACGACCTTACCCCAAGGAGAGTCTTTCTATCCACCTCCCTCCCCCAGGGAGCTCATTAAGAAGGGAGGCCTGGGAGAAGAAGAGAGACTGTGGAACACCAGGATTCATAAGTTCCATCAACTCTCCGAGGGATTGAGGTATGTAAGCTGAGGAAGCTCCGGCATGGGGCTGTCTGTGGGATGTTGGGAGAGGATGTGTGGTGTGGTAGAAAGGTTCTGGGGAATGAAGATCCCTGAGGTCTAGTTGGACAATGAGCAGCTCTCATTTGGGGCAAATTCAGTGCCTTTCTAAATTTCAGGTGTCTCATCTGTAGCATGGATTTCATAGATGGTATGTTCTTTTACTGCTGTAGTAAAATACTTGAGATCAACAACTTCAGGGAAGAGAGATTCATTTGTTCACTGTTTCTGAAATTTCAGTCATAGTCCTTGACTGTTGGTTCTAGACTCAAGATGAAGCAGAACATCATGGTGGCAGGATCAGGTAGACAGAGGCTGCTCAGCTCATGACAGACAGGAGCAGAGAGTGAGAAAGGGACAAGGGACCAGGTATAACCTTCATAAGTGTGCCCCAAGAGACCTATTTTCTTCCAGATAGGCTCCACCTCCTATATTTCCACCTCCCCACCTAAAAAATCAGAGGATTAAACATTTAATACATGGGCAATTCTTATTCAAACCATGAGTGAGGAGATGACCAAAGTACACTACATGATGTATGGAGATGTCACAATGTCACCTAGTATGTTCAAAAAAATTTAACAAGTTAAACTTGTTAGGCATCTTTGGTTTGATTTCCTGTTCTTCTATTTATTACCTTAGGAAAGGACACTCAGTTTCTGCAACTGGAAAATGATATAATAACAAACTCACAGTATGCCCACAGCATGTGGACATTTAATTTGATATCTTAAGAATGTCTTAGTGAAACATAATCATCATCAATATCAATAACAACAAAGCAATGCAGAAAAGAATTGTGAAAAATAGCATTCATCTCTGTGTATCAGTATAAATATCTTTTTTTTTTTTTTTTTTCCGTACTGGAGCTTCACCTCAGGGCCTTGTACTTCTAGGCTGGCAGTCAACCACGTGAACCATGCCTCCAGATTTACTTTGTGCTGGTTATTTTGGACATGAAGTCTGGTGGACTGTTCTGCTCTGGCTAGCCTTGAATTCCTATCTTTCAGATCTCAACCTCCTGAGTGGCTAGGATTATGGATGTGTCAACAGTATCTGCTTAAAAATAGTAAGGTAAATTGTAGTGAGTAGAATTTTACAAAAATATTCTGATAGGCTTTTTTTTTTTTGCTCACATCCATCATTCCACTACTTGAGCCACATTTCCATATCTGGATTTTTGCTAGTTAATTGGAGATAAAATCTCTCAGATTTTTGTCCGCTCAGGCTGGCTTAAAATAGTTCTCAGATCTCAACCCTCTGAGTAGCTAGGATAATATATGTGAGCCATGGTGCCTGGTTGGGTACTGTGTTTAAGTTGCTTTTGCATATTCTTTCTTCATCAGACTCTTCAATGCCATAAATCTGAAATCTTTCCCTAGCCCTCCTCAGCTGCCACGCTATCAGTTACTATGGGCAGATCCATATAAAATCCTCCTCTGAAAACTAATAGAAATGTGTGACTCTTTGACAATGTCCATTGTCAAGATTATTAAAGTGTTATTTACATAAACCACGGATTCCACCATTGGGGAACCAAACCTTTGAGGGCGGTCAAAACCATTTTTTGAAATCTGGATTCATAGTAGTACCTAGGGTTTAAATATACACTTGCTCATGGTAGTCACTAGAAACCGTGTGATTTGCCCCAGGTTGATGTTCTTACTCATGTCCAGCAGAACCCTTCATGACCTCTTTGAGAGCTTTGTGAAAAATAGAAAGGAAAGATAATCTGATGAACACCAAGGTCACCTCCTAATTATGGTATCACACCATTTTATTCTTTCGATGAGTAAATCCTGTCCCTTAATTTCCTCAGACCTTTCTTCATGTCATTGTTCCTCAGGCTGTAAACAAAGGGGTTCAGCATAGGAGTCACTACTGTGTACATGACGGTGGCAATGCGGTCCTTCACCACCGAGTACATGGACAGAGGCCGGAAATACACATAGATGACACTGCCATAGAACAGAGTCACCACAGTGAGGTGGGAGCCGCAGGTGGAGAAGGCTTTCCACTTCCCAGCGGCGGAGGGGATTCTCAGCACCGTGATGATGATCCTCAAGTAGGAGAAGAGGATGCACAGGAAGGGGGTCACAATGACCGCCAGGGTCTCAGTCATGACGACAATCTGGCTGGAGGAGGTGTCAGAGCAGGACAGCTTTAGCACGGGCTGGGTGTCACAGAAGAAATGCTTAATGACATGGGAGGCACAGAAAGAGAGGCGAGACATGAGGAGCACCCGGAACAGGGCGTGCAAGTGGGAGATGGCGCAAGAACCCAGCAGCATGAGGAGGCAGCGCCGTGGGCTCATAGCCACATCGTAGTGGAGGGGGTTGCAGATGGCCACCAGGCGGTCAATGGCCATGGAGGCCAGCAGGTAGCTGTCAGTGTTCCCAAAGGCCATGAAGAAGTACATCTGCACTAGGCATCCCACATAGGAGATAGCCTTGGTCTCTGAGAGCAGATTCACCAGCATCTTGGGCACAATGACCGTTGTGAAGCAGATGTCCATGAAGGACAGATTGCTCAGGAAGAAGTACATGGGGGTGTGGAGTCTGGAGTCGGAATGTATGGCCAGGATGATGAGCGCATTCCCCAGCACGGTGACGAGGTACATGATGAGGAAGATGGCAAAGAGGGGTTTCTGCAAGTGTGGGTTGGAAGAGAGGCCCAGGAGGATGAAGCCCGCGGTGCTGCTGCTGTGGTTCCTTGACTCCATGGCTGTGGGACAGGCTGTGGAGTTTTGAAGGACAGTTTGATCAGTGCAGTTTCTTCATTCACCTCAATCCTGTTAAGATGAAACACAATTTTTAGGGTTTTGAGGAATATGTAATTTAAGCAAGTATGGACAAACACATGAAGCAAAATATTCAACAGTGGACACTGAAAAAAGATTCCAAGTGACCTCCTAAATTAAAAATGGAAACTACTTGTGTGAGAGGCCATTTCTATTTTGTAAAATTCTCCTGAGTTCTTTTTATTCTAAACACTTTCTATGTGGTTTCTTGGCCAGCTGCTTAGTCTATTTGTCTGCCTGTTTGTATCTCTTTATTTTTAGTGGAAGAGGTTTCTGAGTATCACCTTGAATAGGATATTTTTATACAAGGCATCCTCATATAAATGAGGGCCTCTCATTCAGTAACTTCTTCCTGTAGTTCTGGAAGTATGATTTTGCAGTGATAATATATTAGTGAACATCAGAATTAACCAGAATTCCTTGCTTTCCATCAAAGTAGGATGAGTTGTATAAAACCCCACTAGTGTTTATTTGGACATACTTGTTTGGATCCTATAATATGGATGCTTTCATGATAAGCTTTGGGTCAGGAATGCTATCAAAAAGGAATACTACAAGTAGCCTATGTTATTGAGATTAGTCCTTTTATTATAGTATTCTTCCTGACTACAAACTTTTCTAGAAGGTTATTATTTTAAATATTCAAACATTTTAAGAATTTAAAATTGTAATGCATAGGAGTCCAATTTCCACCAATATGTTGGAAAGAACAGAGGGATAGATCTGTGACCTTTCTTAAGCTATACTCAGATGTGGACTAAATCAATAAAAAAGAAACCAAGGAAATGAGATTACATATTAGAAAAGATAATATTGTCAATACTTTCAAGTGACACAGTCATCTACTGGAAAGTTCAAGATAAGCATCTGAAAATCTTTTGAAACCTGTAAAAAGTTCATCAAAGTGTCCAGATACCAGCTAGATACAAAAAACAAGGCCATCACCTTTAAAATAAAATAAAATTGGGCTGGGAAGGTGGCTTAGTGGTAGAGCGCTTGCCTTGCATGCATGAGGCCCTGGGGTCGATTCCCCAGCACCACATAAGCAAAAAGAAAAAAGCCGGAAGTGGCGCTGTGGCTCAAGTGGTAGAGTGCTAGCCTTGGCTGAAGAGCTGAGGGACAGCTCCCAGGCCCAGAGTTCAGGCCCCATGACCGGACCCCCCCAAAAAAAACAAAAACACACATTAAGGCTCTTACCCTAATCTTACAGAGATTTGAAAAATAATTCAGTTAACAATAGCCAGAAAGTATGACATATTTATAAATGAATATGAGGGAAAAGAAGGAAGTAAATGCTATACAAGGAAAGTATAGTGGAATGGAAGTGAGATCTATCTGAAGAAAGTGTAATGGAACAGAAAATGAAGTAGAAATTCTATACTTCTAAAAAGAGGGCTTACTATTTAAGAATGTCAGCTTCTTTCAAATTAATAACATTTAATGCAGTTTAATAAGACTCAGGAATTTTAATGGAGTTTGAGACTGTGCTAAGATTAATCTAATATGGCAAAACAAAAATGACTAAAACAATATAATTTTTAAAGACTTAGAATGATGATACTCCAAGGAGTGTCAAAATTAGGGTTCTTAACTACAAGCCAAAGCATAGAGAAAAAGAAGTCAATGTGGTTCATAGATTTCTACATATCTTTATTAATATAGAGACATTCTAACTTTAGAGATCTTATTATACCATAACGATTCATATAGAAAAAAATTAAAATGTAACAGTCGAATATTTGGGAATGCTGGGTTAGATTCTAATCTAATGCATACATGGAAGTTAAAAAGTGAAAAATCCAAGACAGTAACAGAGCCTATTTTGGGGTTTCAGGATATGAATATTAATTTAGACAGGAAATGAAGTATAAAAGAGTAAAGGAACTGTGCTGTTAAAAATTATGTCAAAAGATTGTAAGCAAAGTTAAAATTCAAACCATTGTCTTCCAGAAAATATCTGCAGCATAATTACCAAAGAAAGTATATGACAATGGGCTGGGAAGGTGGCTCAGTGGTAGAGCGCTTGCCTTGCATGCCTGAATCCCTGAGTTCCATTCCTCAGCACCACATAAGCAAAAAGAAAAAAAGCCGGAAGTGGCTCTGTGGCTCAAGTGGTAGAGCGCTAGTCTTGAGCTGAAGAGCTGAGGGACAGCGCCCAGGCCCAGAGTTCAGGCCCCAAGACCGGGCCTCCCCCCCCCCCCCCCAAAAAAAAAAGTATATGACAAGGTGTTCAACCTCTTTGCTAATCAGAAAACACATATGTACTGAAATACATTTTTCACTAATCAAATTTGGCAATACTTTTGGAGGGACAATTTCTTAAGGAAAGTAGCTTCTTATAACATATACTGCTAGTGTCTGGGAAAAATCAGTACAAGTCTTTTGACCTATATCACCTTATACAACAATTCTCTTTGTCTTTTCTTCTTAAGGGATCATATTTGAGTAATATGAAAACACATACACACATTTTAATGGTAATATTGCCTGTAAATATCAAACAAAAACACAAACTATTTGCAGATGAAATGTCCAAAATGTTCACAAGGAGATTTATTAAACAATTTATAGTAAACTTTTATTGCTTAATACCATGTCATCTCTAAAGAAGTAAGTAGCTAATGCCAGCAAATATTTATTAGGCCTCAAAACATGCCACACGCTTTTAGGAGACAAACGGAGGGGATAACAATGCTCGACAAGAAATGTTCTCATTACCTTACTCATATAACTGTAACCTCTCTGTATAGCATCTTTACAGTAAAATTAAAAAAAACTGAGCCAGATGCTTTGCATGCCTTTCAAAATTCATTTTTACTATCTCCAAATCCTAAGTGGTAACACTACTATTAATGGAATAAAAATTAGGGGTTGGCAAAGTTAAATGACTTACCAGATCCTTGAGTTAGTAAGTGAAGTTAGGTTTTGAACTCAGGCAGTCTGATGGTGGAGCTGGAACTCTTCTAGATAGAGCTGGCCTATCATTATTAATGGTCTGTGTACGATATTTTCATAAGTGACAAAAGCAAGTTGTACAATGTACACAGAATAACTCGTCTATAAGAAAGAGATCTTTCATTTTGTTTTGTGTGGGTTTATGTTCACGTCGATGCTTTCTGAAATGAGATAGGGAGTTAACATTTTAAACCTGATATCACATTATTTAAAATTATGAATACACACATATTCATGTTCATTTTATAATTGAAAGGGTACAGGTTCCTTATAATTTTGTCAGAAAACTAGATTGTGTATGTAAAGACTTTTCTCCTTTGCCTAGACTTACATATAAGTAGATAAATAAATATAGATTTAGGGTTACATTGTCGATAGCATTCCACCATCCTGATTGTTAAAACAAATTGTTTTGTTTTGTTTTGTTTTTTTGGGTCCGGCCGTGGGGCCTGAACTCTGGGCCTGGGCGCTGTCCCTCAGCTCTTCAGCTCAAGGCTAGCGCTCTACCACTTGAGCCACAGCACCACTTCCGGCTTTTTTCTTTTTGCTTATGTGGTGCTGGGGAATCGAACCCAGGGCCTCAGGCATGCAAGGCAAGCACTCTACCACTGAACCACCTTCCCAGTCCTTGTTAAAACAAATTGTATATGTGCATCTCCTTTTTGTGTGAATGTTTGTTTTTGTACTTGAAAAAATTTTTATGATGTAGAATTAATTTGAAGATTGTGAAATGCTTAGTTTAGGAATATTGAAAAATTTAAGGTATTTTCTACTGGAGTCAACAGCTCTTCATGCAACTCCTGGCCAAGGTGTTCATTTCACTCTTTGGACTCTCATTTCCTGTTCACTGTTGTTTTCAGATTCACTTCTGTGACATTGTTTTCCTGCGTGATGATAGGCTGTCTAAATACTTTTGTGCTTGACCCTGGAATTCCCCAATCTATGTGGCATTTCTCAAGGCCAGTAGCTGAGCCTCCTTTCTCTTTAGATGGATCCAGTAACGGTGCATATTTTTTTTCATGGCTTGGAAAACTAATTTCACTTCCATACAGATGATGGTCTGTTCAGATGTGCAAGGATTTGTGTGTCTTTATGTGTGTGCACACGTGTTGTTTTCTGCCATTTGGAGACTCAAGGAAAGTAGAGTGCCATACCTCTCTCTAAGTCATCAACATTATTGTTCACACAATAGAAACAGGAAATGAAATTTTAATGATGTTGCTTCTCATCACTTACTAACTTAGAAGGTCTAGGAATGACTGAGAACATTTCTTTTTTAACTAATTGTATTTGTATAGTTGATATGCAGAGAGGTTACAGTTTCATGAATCAGGTACAATCAGTATAATTCTTTTTGAACCATGTCTCTATCTTTCTCTCCAGTCCCGATCCATAGGAGATCCAGTTTGTTTTTCACACAGGGTCTAGTGAGTATCATTGTTGCATTTGTTCATCATTGTCCCATCTTTTATGTGTCTTCCCTTACCCTCCTAAAGAAATAAAAACTAACAAACAAGATAAAAGGAAAAGAAAACAGAAACAACAACAATGGCAACTAAAGAATGTCTCTTCTTTCCTTTTCTTGGAGTGACTGTGAACATTTCTAAGCTTTAAAATGTATTTATTCCTTCTCCTCTCCCCATCTTTAAAAAATAGGAACATTTTTGCATGGCTAAACTTTTTCAGTGGACCTTTCTAGTTTGTGGACATTTATAACGTTAGATTGGGTTTCCTTTTCTTATTCAGGGTCTCTTTCTTAGCTATTGGTCCAAATGAAGCCAGGGAGGGTAAATTGGCAGTCAGTAAGTACCTAAATTGGAATAAATTTCGTCTACACTGAACCAGTTCTGCATGTAGCCCTTGTCTTATTAATCCACATATTAACACTATGGTGTAAGTGCCACTGTTTCTCTTTTATAAGGACATGGGGAAAGGGAAAGCATGTATTGAAGTGTCAAGCCCAGGTA